TCCGATAGCAAATACGTAGTTCCCTCATATCAGTCTTTATACTACAAGCATAATTGAATGAAACCGTTCAATGTGTAAATACTGATCAAGCACGGCCATTTCCTTTTCCATTCACTTCCGCACTTCCTTTCCCCTTGAGAAATGTCACGTTCAATGAAATCTCGATGTCTCATTTTTTGGCTATTCGAGTTAGGCTGTCGAACATGCTTGGCAAATCTTCGACTTCCTCGATGGTCACAGGATTCACCGCTTTAGTCATGGTACTCGATTCATCGCTTGATTCTTAATTTCCGACCCAATCAACATAACCACAATATTTACTGCAGGTTTTGAATAATCACCCTTTGTTCTCGGTCTCTCTTTCTACCTCAAAACATTTCTGCAATCCATGTGCACACCATAGGCATCGCCATTTCATTGGGCAATCCCTAAACAAGTGCTCCGTGCTTCTACTGCCATGACAAAAACGAACATTCCTACATCAAACACCTTATCAATTAATTTCAACACTTAAACTACATACGATGGGATCAGACAAACACTATGTAAAAAAAATAAGAATTACTTCTACCAAACATAACTCAAAGATATAATTAAAAGACCATAGTTTACACCAGTTTTCCGATAGCAAATACGTAGTTCCCTCATATCAGTCTTTATACTACAAGCGTAATTGAATGAAACCGTTCAATGTGTAAATACTGATCAAGCACGGCCCTTTCCTTTTCCATTCACTTCCGCGCTTCCTTTCCCCTTGAGAAATGTCACGTTCAACGAAATCTCGATGTCTCATTTTTTGGCTATTCGAGTTAGGCTGTCGAACATGCTAATCTTCGACTTCCTTGATGGTCACAGGATTCACCGCTTTAGTCATGGTACTCGATTAATCACTTGATTCTTAATTTCCGACCCAATCAACATAACCACAATATTTACTACAGGTTTTGAATAATCACCCTTTGTTCTCGGTCTCTCTTTCTACCTCAAAACATTTCTGCAATCCATGTGCACACCATAGGCATCGCCATTTCATTGGGCAATCCCTAAACAAGTGCTTCGTGCTTCTACTGCCGTGACAAAAACGAACATTCCTACATCTTATCCTGGATGGCAAGCAACAACATCAATCAGATGTTATTACTACATGCACTAAGAAAATGGAGAGAAATTCATCGTCACTGTCGCAGTTTTCAAAGCAACTCCACCCATTTCATATATTCTAAACATCAATACGTACACCAGCAGTGTTCTTCTACCATTACAGGACACGACAAGTAGCATATCTTCTACCAAATGTCTCCAATTCCACATTTGCATTCATATTTTACAAAGTATTCAACACGTTATAAACCAAAAACTTACTTCTCGTGTATAGTGTTTACGCGTTATACCGACAAATGTTTTGTTGGAGGTGGATATGAGTGTGGCGGTTGTCGACCTAGGTAACGGCTTCGGGCGGAGATGGTTTACAACCTACATGACTGTTCGTCGTTAGACGGAAGTCAAGAAGAATGAGGCGATTCTTGGGGTTTCAAACGGAGAAAGGAATGGGAATTAGAAATGGAACGCGTCTGCTTTTCTTTCTTTCTTTCTTTTTTAAATTGCCTTACATGCCACGCCATTCTGTGAAACATCTGTGAGTCTTCATTTTATACGTGTAGCACGGTCGTTGTATGAAAGGTTAAAGACTGACAGGGATGTCAACCATTAGCAGATTATGGTCTATTTTTCCTGAATAAAAACAGAAGAATTGAAGAAATAAAAAGTGAATGCCTTATCTAGCTAGAATTTTACATTTTTGTGGTTGACGTTTATGCCTTCTCTAGAATCAGTTCCACGAGTATACAAGGGAGAGAAAAGTCTTGCAATTGATAGGTTGAAATACCTAAGAAGTCAGTCAAAATATCAAGAGAAGACGTGTGAAAATTAATGATACGCAAAAGCGAAAACTCTGTAATTGTAAAAAAATAAATTTCTGTATATGCACATAAACATAATGATGAATATAATGGGGTCGTAAAAAAGTATCCTTGTGCCTGACCTATATTTTATTCAAAATGTGACGAACTATGCTGGATATCTCTCATGTAGACTTCTAAGGGAGAGGGTTAGATGTTTCCTTGAAATAATTAATGATATATGAAAAGGAAAATTATATGTGCTCTTAGACGTTCCCTTGGATATCGTGAAGAAAAATTGACTGTTAATTGCAATATCTCCATGTTAAATTAGATCTGAAAAAAAAAAAATTTGGAAGAATGAGATTTGTCAACAAACCAATTTCAGATGGGATTTCCCCAGCGAAAGAGTTGTTATGAATCAGCAAATTTGTTGACTGGGTCCAATTTGTGAAAAATAAGGCAGGATGTGACGACAAAGATTACTATCAAAGATACTAAAAACAGATAACTTGGTCAGATTGGTCAAGGATAGAGGCAAAGATCCCATAAGTGCATTACCTCTTAAAATCAAGTTGGTAAGGTTTGTGTAGAGGCTAAGCTTAGGAGGAATTGTGGAATTGAGTGGGCTATTGATTGTGAGAGCAAGAAATTTAAGATTCCTGAGTTTGTCTAAAGAAGATGGTTAGAGTTTACCAAGGTTTAGTTGTGTCTGGACCAACTGTAAGTTATATTTTCTAATAGATCGTTTTAATATGATTTGTTTGGAAGTTTCTTATCCCTTGAAGAGTTCTTTAGGTGGTTTTCCTTCGTAAACATATATGGTGATTATTTGTGCTCTTTTACTTTTACTTCTTTGATTTGAGTCTATATGATCGATTAATTCGGGTTTAATTTGATTAAACTCGATCATCTAGCGACAATAATTAATGACTTGTTGCTTATTATTGTTTGTTTATTTTAAGTCCGCATTATACGCCTATTCACCCCATTTGTAATTTCCTCTTATTATATAAACAAGTTCTACTTCAAACATGATAGTGGAATGGCAAAATTCTTGAGATGGTTTAGTGTGCCGCTGAGGTTTCCATCATATACTGCTATCTCAGAAATCAAGCCCTTAGTGTTGCACACAATTCCCTTTCATCTACACTGATTCCAATCATTGTCAAGTTCCCATGAATCAAGAAAATCATGAGATGATAAGGTTTTCTTCCACCTTATAAGAGCCCTTCTTCTGCAGATGATTCGATAGAATTAGAATAATCTGCGTATGCTCTCTTGGATGATAATGTTCAACGGAAGTAAAAAAAGAAAAGAAGAATACGAAGAAGGAAAATGAAAGCTTTAGTATGTCAGAAGGGTGACAATACAGTTATTATCTTCTCCTTTTATTGCACATGTAAATAATATCAAAAGGAGAGGAGAGGAGACGTTGCGACAAATATGCAGGCAGGCACGGAAAAAACCTAGTTTGGGCTCTGGCTGGAATTTTAACAGTCTGAATAAATTCTTTTTATTTCAGAATAAATAAAAATCATAAGAGCATTTTATAGTATCGGCTGATACGCATATTCTAGGAAGACTTAACATTGAGCTTATTTCTTCTTCAACTAATAACTATGAACAATCTACCTCCACCTTCTACCATCTTTTACTTAGTAAACTCGATAAACAAATTCTATAAACCGTATAAGCATTTTATATTTAAAAATAAAATAGCCTGCAACCAATCCAAATAACATTCCACATCCATATCCATTGTTCTCAACAGTTTTTGGAATGTGTAATGAGAAAGTAGAGTATCAAATGAATTGCCACTTCATACTTTGCGATATTCCTTAAGACACATGTTACAAAATATACCGCGTCTTAAGTTATATTCGACTTGTGTATTAAGATCTTATGATGCTCAAGTCAATCGAAATTAGTTTAAAAAGTGTTAATTGTTCGGTGAATCACATCAAAACAAAAGAGGACATCAAAGTTTTAGAAGAGCCGAAAGAATACAGAGTCTTGTTAATGTTTAGCCCTTTTTGTTGTTGATCTTAATGCCTTCTATGGAATTCGGTTCCATAAAGATACAAATGAGAGAAATTTCTTAAAGTTGATAGTTGAAGAAGACATAATAGAAGACTAAAATTCTAAATATTAAGAGAAGGCATTGCGAAAATTAATGATACATGAAAGGGAAAGCTACAAAGTTGCTAAGAAAGAATAGAGTCCATATCAAACAAAAGAGGATATCAAAGTTTTAACCAAAAGAGGATAATGTTTAGCCCTTTTGTGGTTTATATAAATGCCATATGTGGAATTCAGCTCCACGAGATACTAAAAAAGAGAAAATTCTTGAAATTGATAGTTGAAAATTACCTAATAGAAGACTAAGTCAATTAAAATATCAAGAGAACACGTGAAAATTAATGATATATGAAAGGGAAAGCTACTTTGTTGCAAAGAATAAACTGTAGAGAATATTTATATAGATGTAGTGATGAATCTAATGGGATCATGAAAAATATCCATGTCGTCGACCTTCCATTTGTTGGATTCTTGACTTAAACTATACTCGATGTCTCATTAGTAGACTAGTTCTATAGGAGAGAATGAGATATTTTCTTCAAGTAATTTGTTAATCTTAAATATTAATAAAATTTGAGGGTTTATCTTTGATATTTACATGAATTCTGCATTATTGAATTTACGAAACTTAGCAATTCCATAGGTGCTGGAATTATGAGCCTTGGTGGAATTGGGAATGAAGGATTCTTAGATTATAGCAACGAGTTCAACTTCAAACATGACAGTGGAATGGCAATTTCTTGAGAGCAATAAGAGAACATAAATAAGTAATCAATCAATTCCATCGACAATTAAAACAGAGTTTGATTAAATTATTACAATAAACAAACAATTGCATATAAACCATATCAAAATTCACAAACAATAAAAGAAAGTATGAGCAAGTACAACAAACAAATGCATAAAAAATCACAAAAAATTCACAAACTATAACAGATTAAAAGAATCCAAGGACGGGCACTGAAAAAGAAGTAAAAAAATCTCAATTCATCTTTCTTCTGTAGAATGCAATTGGGTATATTAGGCTTCTGCAGCACCTCGGTCGAGAGCTTTCTCCAATCTCACCTCGAATGGAGTTGAATGCCAATTCACTCTCTTGTCCTGCACATTTGATGAAAAATACTTAGAACAAAACATTATCAATGTGATATTAATTGACAAATTCTCACTTCAAGAATACCTCTCTGTACTTGCTGGTTGTATTCGGTATGCCTTTGTAAGAAGAGACCGAGTCAGAATGGTTAGCTGAACCCGAATTATTCCAGTAGGTCCCGACTGTACCTATAATAGGCATCTCATCAGGGTTTCGACCAGGAGATTTCCTCGGGGAGGAAGATGCCGACATCTGTTTCAGCTCCTCGACTGTCAATGCACCTAGAATTGGTCGATCATCATAGCTCCTCGGTGAAGTCGACCCTAGTGGCATGTTCTTTTCAGGCGTAGTGGTCTCAAGATCACTATAACTATTCTTCTTTGCAGGAGTGATATCAGGCGAAACCAACCAGCTCGAAAGACTAGAATCAACGGCTATCTCTTTGTTTGCATTCTTCGACTGATCCAATTTTGGCTTCAAACTATGTGAAGATTGCTTAAAAGTCGGTTCTAAACTACTGAAAGAAATGTGGGGTGCTTCGAGGTCATCAATCAAGTTCTCCTTTTGTGGATTCAAAGGCTGCATCCCTTTCGATTTCACAGCTTTCCACTGAGTAGTGTTCTCAACAGGGTTCAACACGGAATTGACATAGTCACTTCTATCTCTTGAATTTGTTTTTGGTCCAGACACCTCCACTTTCCTCTCGGGCTGTCCAACCCTTATCAAAGGACTCTCTACTTCCTCGTTGATAACTCGAGCTGAAAGATCTTCTGTCCTTGACTCCATAGATGCAGTTAAAACTGACTCTGACCATACTTCTTGGCAACCAATTCCGTCATCTTCATTATAGTAATCAGGATCATCTTGATCGTCCATCTCGTATATATTATCCAAGTCACTGTCACCATACTCCTCGGTTTCATTGTTACCATCCACAACATTATGGTACCTATGATTCGGAGGATACAATCCCACGCTGGATGCCACAGAACTGTCATTTTCAGAGAGTAAATGCGATTGGGGTGGTCGAGCCCTTTCTAAATATTCCTCCCCCTCTTTCTCAACGGATCTATTGTTCTCTAGTAGAGAATCAGTGCTTTCATAGATGGAAACATGGGTGAATGTTGTGACTTTTGTATCAAATGTAACTCTTTTTCTTGGGCTCGGGATCAATTGCTCCTCTTCCTCAGGCTTATCTCTGCACCAACAAGTCAATCTAGTTTAATCTAGTGGAAGAAGCTAATAACAAGAAAAAGCAGAGGATACTTCTCTAAATCAATTCTTCCCCAGCAAGTATTAGCAGTAACGGAGAAGCTAACAATACAGAAAATCAAACAAAATTTCTCAATACTTAAAAAGAGTTGAATAAAGGCAATTTAATTGAAGAGTTTAAAGAGAATGATATGACTAACCGCAACTCTGAAACCGAGTTAGTGGCGGGTATTTCCTTATGGGGAATTTCCGTAGTGCTCTGTTCTGCATATATTACACCCTGCAGTTGCTGAACATTCCGACCCCTGTCTCTCTGTAACAATATTTTAGTAATTCGATTAACTTCAGAAAACCCAAAATCCAAACCAAAAAAAAAAAATCAAAATACAGATATACTAATAACATGTTCTCAAAGCATAAAGCTAAGAGAGAAAGAACAAATCAAGAACTGGTTTGTGCGTTTTCACAAAATTTCGGTACAGCAAGCCAACTGCGGGGAAAATAGAACATGGGTTTCAAATTTTGGTTAATAAACAAAATTTAAAGCTCCATCAAGAAAGAAGAATCAATGCTTACAATCAGACACTTGAACAGACGATAACCCACAACTTAAAACCCTCTTATTCGAATTTAACAGATCAAAACGACGAAGAAAATCGATAAACAATCAAGAATTCCATAATTCCTCTCACAACTACACGAAAGAGAAAGAACAAGAAACGGGAACTTAAATTCTGGTTAAGCTAAGAAAAGGGTCTTACTTGGTTTCTAGGGCTGCCCCGTTTAACCCTCTGTTTGCGGCGTTGAGAATCCTTTGCACCACCAAAGCACCCAAGGAAACAACCCATTAAGTGATATTCAAGAACCACCAAAAAACTTTCTTTTTTTGTTGGGTTCAAAGACTGAACTTTTTCTTGAGTTAGAGATGATTTGAAGGTGTTTAACGTTGAAGGATCTTCATGATTGGTATTTTTTTTCCGGCAGAGAGAGAGTAGAGAGAGGAGCGTTAAGGGAGAAAGGGAAAAGGCAAACAAACGGTCGAAAATTGGTGGGCCTACGGTGTGTTAGGGCTTATGTGTGTTCGAAACAGGAAATGACCGTTACACTTTCAATTTTAAAATGTTTTTATTTCACTAATCATGTCCAATGCCATCATAAGTCATCAAGCACTTCACAATTTCACATCCTTTGTGGCCCATCTTCAAAGAATCTTTCCAATGCTATACAATTAAATATTCATTAATTTTTTGTGAGAATATCAAATTAGGGTATCAATTTTGCTCGTCGGTTCGAACGACTCGTGGCGCAACCCGAAAAAAGTTTGAGCCAAGTCCCATTTGTGTTGGCTTAAGCACGGGCCGGCTCGTGTTACGGTCTATTTTCAGCCCGTGACAAGCCGGACCCTAAAAAAAAAAAAAATCAAGCAACGTGTAGCTGCCTGTGCCTTTGCAGGTAGTTAAAAAAAAACCAAGCAACTAGGCGTTGCCTCTTTAAAAAAAATTGTGAGCTAGCTCGGCTCGACAAGACTCGAGTCAAAAGCTCGCGACGAGCCTAATTTTTTTGGTTGACCAATAGCTCAACTCAGCTCGACCTAAAAAAAACTCGAACCATTTTTACTTGAGTCAAGCCCGAGCCTCAAGTTTCTACTCGACTCGTTGACACCCATGTATCAAGTAGTTGATCATAAATGTCTAGAATCAATTCTTGATCAATAATTCATTGATTTCACAAAATATCGATTTGGATCAAAATAATTAAAAATTTCCTATTTTCCATATTTTATCGAAATAAACAATGGCTTTTATTTTAATTTTTTTAAAATTTATTTTTTATATATTGTAAAGTTGCCGTTTTACCCCTTTTAAAATTAATAAAAATTGTGAAAAGAGGTTGGATGGCCATGATGAAACGATATATGAAATTTGAAAGCCATGGTGAAATAAAATAAAATTTGGTGGTCATGGCAACACTAAGTGTAAAGTTGGGTAGTCATGGTGAAACATAATCAAATTGAGTAGTCGTGTGAGTATAAAATTGGGTGATCGTTGGTGGATTTAACCCAGAATCAATTCTTAATCAATAATTCTCTGATTTCACAAAATATCGATTTGGATCAAAATAATTAAAATTTTCCTATTTTCAATATTTTTTGAAATAAACAATACGGTAACAATGAATCCTAATTATTGCTTCAAAATTGCACTCAAAAAATAAAATAAGTGTTGCTTCAAGACAAAACTCCCGACTTTATAAGGGGTACTTACAAAATTACCCTTAAAATTAGGGGTGTTTTGAAAAATCATGTGAAAAATTTTTAGGAAGTAAAAAATACTGTGTAAAATAAAAAAGTGACACAATGTCACTTTTTTTATAAAAAATTGTCACTTTTTACAAACTTAAAAAGAGTGACAAAATTCAAAAAAAGTGACTCAAAAAGTTATACAAACTCAAAAAAATGACAAATACTTAAAAAGGTACCAAAACACCAATCAAAACATATGTTTGTTATAAAAAAAAGTTAGAAATTTTTAAAAAATAACAAACAATAAAAGTGACACAATGTCACTTTTTTACTTTTTTTAAAAAAAAAGTGACACAAACTCAAAAAAGTGACAAAACTAAAAACAGTGA